TGGTAGAGTTTGTTCGTGAGCGATGTTCATATTTGTAACGAGCCAATCGAAGATTTAGCCATAGGTATTTTCCTATATCTCCCATGTGGGACAGAGGAAAGCATAGCCATGTAGGAGCTATTGCGGCTGTAATGGAACGGACAAGGGTAGTGTTGTTGGTTTGGGTTTTGGTATCATTAAATATTCCGGAAATTCCAAGGAACTTGCTAGGAAGTGAAATGGAAAGAATTGACTTAGCCTAGGCAGGGTAATTTCCTCCAAAAGAGATGGAATCTTAAAGAGGAGTGAGTTAGTCATGCCGAGTCAAAAAGTAATTGATTTAGATGGAGACTAAAGAGAAATTAAGCCTTGACCAAAAGAAAAAAAAAAAACAAGAGAAATTAAGCGCCCATTGATTCGTTGGAAATTTTTCGATATTCAATTGCTTGGTGAAAACAAAGACAAGAATGAAATTTTGCTTTTATTCTCGACAGCTGAACATGGACATCTCGAAAATGCGTCTACAACGCACATTTAAATTATCCTATTCACAACAAGGTGTTAATAGCGAGTGGGGAAATGCTTAGTTGACCGCTCCGTTAGTTTGATGGAGGAGACAGTACCGTCCAGGCGACGCAATTTCATGTGAAATCTAGATGAGTCGTTTATCCAGTTTCCAAAGTAAAAGCTCCGTGTTGCGTATGCACTAGCAATCCTTGGCAAACAAGATATCGTGCAACTTTAATAATTGGCAAGCTGTCTTTTTAGACTTACAATAATTTTGAGCCAAAAAGTTTCACTCCATCGAAAGATACTTCCGTAACCCTATGGTTGATGAGAATTGCACCCTACGGAAGCCGGGAGTCAAAGTAAAATACTGTAGTAAATGGTTAAAATGCGAAAGTAACCCCAAACATCTGCTGAAACAAAAATTTCTGAAATGTTTAATTACAATATTAATCTACAAATTTGAACTCCCAAATTCAATAAACTGTCTTTATACATAATCAGCCCAATAACTACTAAAAAAGATTGAAATAACAAAAATCCGCTATAGCTTTACGACAAATGTTGATGATACTTTACGGCATCTGAAATAACAAAATTCGTGAATTTAATGATTGCTACGATTTAAAGAAATGCATCGAAATCGAACACCTTCTGATACATATATCTTTCTTTTTATCAATATGAAGCTAATTTTCGTACAACAAATGCCGTTTTTTTTTCGTCAAGGAATTAAGTCAAATTCATACCTGATACTGATACCCTATTTTTGTGGCTTTATTAAGGTGAACGTTATAGGGAAGTTTCAACCGTGCTTCTTCTTTGGAGGCTTCCTATTTGGAAGTAGAATTTTCAAAGAGTCTATTAGGGACACAATGGGATGTTGTTTATCGGATGATTTGCAGTTAAGTTACCGCGACATCGTCAAGGTAGTCGAAACTTCGCATCGTCGGTACCATGTGGTTAAGTTACTGCGACATCATCAAGGTAGTCGAAACTTCACATCGTCGGTACCATTCTTTCGAATGAAAAGGAATCCTACATTTAGACTTCTTAGTCCATCCTTTCGAACCCATGGTCCACCGTCGTACTTTTTTCCATCTCTCCTTCAATCTACTCTGCATATATCGATTCTCACGGCCCGTGGGGTTAGGGCAATGGTCAAAGCAGCCGTGTTTGGAGCTATTGCGGCTATAATGGAAACAGGTCATGGCCAACGGCTGTGTTGTTTTTTCTAGGTAACTTTGGTTGCGATCTGTGTGAAGAGGAGAATGCGCAGCCTAGGCACAGTGCTTTCCGCCAAAAGAGATGGAATCTTAAAAGAGGAGCAAGGGAGCGATGCCAATAAGAGAGCTGGAAACTGAAGAGAGTTTGAGGGCCCATTGATTCGTGGGACTCTCGATTTTCATTTCAAGGGAAAATGAGATTGAAACTAAGAACGGTTCTTGCAGGGTAGGTTTTACATTCCAGGTCTGAAACTTGCCTACCCTGAAATCAATCACCCCTATGGCTAAATGATATCATGTAATAATCTAAGTTTAGTCAAGTCAACAATTGATAGGTTATCGCGTACCATGAGGTTATTGTCAAATAATATCGATCAATATACATCATGAGGAAAGGATGTCATAAGAACACAGATTGACATTAAGACGATTAGAAGCAGTTAGAAGGAGACCAACGCATGGAATGCATTCCGGAATAAAAATTCTGTTCCGGAATGCATTCCGAAATAGAGTGGCGTTTGTTAAAAAATTTCCGGAATGCATTCTGGAGCGATTCTTGCATTCTGGAATAAAAATGCGTTTGTTAAAAATACTTGATTCAAGAATGCATTCTTGATTCTGGAATGCATTTTTTATTCCGAAATGAGTTTTTGGCAAGAAAAAGAGAAGCTACTTTTTTTAGCTTTTTGATTCCGGAATGCATTCTCCCTATTTTCTCATAATTTTTTTTTTCAGAAAAAGCATAAAAATTGAAAAATTCTAGAAAAATTCATAAAAATTTCCAGAAAATAAAAAAAAAAGTCAGATTTCTGGAAAATATGAAATTTTGTGAATTTAAAAAAAATAAAAAATTTCAAAACTTCACGGAATAGCTTAAAACACATGTGGCCATCCACTTTGAGTGAAATTTAAATTTTTTGAGGTGCCCAAAAAAAATCAAAAATTTCAAAACTTCACAGAATGGCTTAAAATACCTGTGGTCACCTACTTTGAGTGAAATTTAATTTTTTTGAGGTGCCCAAAAAAAATAAAAATAATGATAAAATAAAAATTTTCAAAACTTCACAAAATGGCTTAAAATACCTGTGGCCACCCACTTTGAGTGAAATTTAAATTTTTTTAGGTGCCCAAAAAAATAAAAAATAAATAAATAATTTTAAAACTTTACAAAATGGCTTAGAATACCTGTAGCCACCCACTTTGAGTAAAATTTAAATTTTTTGAGGTGCCCAAAAAAATTAAAAAAAATTAAAAATTAAAAACTTCACAAAATGGCTTAGAATAACTGTGGCCACCCACTTTAAGTGAAATTTAAATTTTTTTAGGTGTCCAAAAAAAATTAAAAAAATTAAAAATTTCAAAACTTTACAGAATGGCTTATAATACCTGTGGCCACCCACTTTAAGTAAAATTTAAATTTTTTTAGGTGCAAAAAAAAATCAACAAATCAAAACAGATTTCTGTTCCAGAAATCAATTTCTGGAGCAGAATTAGTCATGTTTTACCAAACAGATTTCTCCTCCAGAAATCAATTTCTGGCAAGAATTCCAGAAATCAATTTCTGGCAAGAATTTGATTTCTGGAGTAGAATGGTTACCATTCGCACCCTAAGAAGCCACAATTCAAACCCATCAAGTGTAAAAAACGAGGAAATATTTAGCAAAGGATTTTCAATTTTTTTCTCGAAAACTGTGTCCACTGAATTAAGTAATTGTTTTTCGACCAAATGAAAATTATATAATTGTTTTGTTCACACGCTTTGGTCAGTTAAAATAAAATAAGAATATGTTTTCGAGTTTCTTGTTGAAACTTTATCCATTCAAAATCTAAGTCCTAGATTTAAGTCGTGCAAATCATATAATTTAAGCCGGAAGCACAAGGTCACAAGCAAAGTTGTAAAATGTTCTCAAATGAATATTAAGAAATGCACTTAGATTCATGTTTTGAGTTTGTTTTCTGACTATTTAAATGTTGTAGAGAAATGATCGTTCATGATGACAAAAAAATGAAATTTAGATCACCTAAATTCGCTCTTCATGCCGTTCTATTGATTATGTTAGTGAACTATATGTTTGATGTCGACTTGATTCGAGCTAATTAGAAATATAACTGAGGCGGTTTATGAATTTGTTCCTTGCCTTGACATAGTTGATGTAATTCATATCGATTCAGTCCTTTTGTGCTTCACATTTTTCTCACGGTTGTGTTCTTCACATTCTCGGCTGTAATAAGGTCACTCATCTCATGGGATTCGTCGTTCTTCTTGCTCATATCTGAAGTTGCATGCTTACGACGAGGTTTGTTCATAATTCAACGCAATACTCTTATTTCCCAGCATAATAAGAAGCACACTGTTAATGCACACGGTATGTGTTGGGGAGAACCGGGCAATAATTCATCAAGAACTAATCTAATCCATAATCAATTTCTCTCTCAAAACTAAACTAACCAAAATCGACTTAACTCCAGTAACAACAAGCAATATTTCCAACAATACAACCTCGCAATATGTAAATATAATGTCAAATTGATAGCACATAAAGGCGACAATAACACCAATATTTTACGTGAAAACTCAACGAGGGAAAAACCACAGACGGCCCAAAAACTTCAACTAATCACCAAAAATAGTAGGATACACAAAATGTTATTATGTAGTCACACACCAGAGGTTCAAAATTAATAATACAACAATATTTTCTCACCACAAAGGCAGATTAATATAAACGGAGCAAGAAAACTCTAATCGTAATTGGAGAATTCGGAGAAGGTTCTCAACGAACGAAATAGATTAACTAGTAATCCTCGATCTCATGAATAACATATTAAAATTTAGGGAAAAGACCACAAAAAACCCCAAATTATGCTACCTGTAATACATTTATCTTGAACTTTTTTTTGTGACACCAAAAATCCCAAACTATGCTATTTGTGACACATTTGCCTCAATGTACTTTAGTCCATGGGCATTTTCGTCTTTTTTGCTTTTGCTTTTTTTTCCCCTTTTTTTTTCCTTTCCGGCGAGGGCGGCCCTTGCCGGCGTCGGGCGAGGGCGGCCCTCGCCGGGTTGCCCTTTTTTCTTTCTTCTCAACGTGCTCTCTCGGTGAGCACTCTTCTTCTCTCTCCTCTTCTCTGTCTCGGGCACGGAGCAGCACTTTCTTTTGTTCTTTTTTTTTTTTTTTTGACTTTTGTTCCTTTATTATTAATGTCAGCTGGGCCCGCGAGAGGCGTAAACCAGCCAACAGTATATGAGGTGTATCATTCTTTGAAAATCCGAAATATAAGATGTACAAAAATGAAAAGAATATTAGGTGCCAAAAGATCGATGGATTACACGTTCCTTATTCTTCTAGGGAAAAGTAAAAAAAATCATGCTGCATCAACAACGAATCCAATATACATGTACAATGAAAAGAATCGAGCTAAACCCAGTTAGTGTTGCTACTGTTGTTCTCTGTGCACAAGTTTCCTCCGGAGCTTCTTGCTTTTCAATCCCAAGTAGGTGAAGATTGGTGTATCAGGGACTGGAATGCACTTGACGACCCAACCAATAGGCCAAGATGCAGCTGCGATCCCGACACACGCACCCCATTGTCCCCAGCTCAACCGCTCCGTGTCGGCGAACCGCTTCAGGAACTCGACCATCACCACCTGGAGGACCACCGTGATGAAGATGATCCCGAGGAACAGCTTGTTCTTGTGAATGCCCTCGAACACGTTCTTCTTCTCGAGCTTCCTCGCGTTGAACTCGTTGAAGACCTGGCACAGGACAAACGCGTTGAATATCAGCGTCCGCTTCACTGCCTCGTCCACGCCGAAGATCGATTCACCCTTGAACTGTAGAGTGAGGAGGACGGCTATTTGGTATGTTGCTTGTGCTAGAAGGTTCCTCCACATGACATTGGTTATGAGCGGCTCGGTCCGACCCACGGGGCGCTTCTCCATGAGCTCCCGGGTGGGCCGCTCTGTGGCAAGGGCGAGGGCGCCGAGTGTGTCCATGATCAGGTTCACCCACAAGAGCTGGACGGCCGTCAAGGGGACGTCGCCGGAGGAGACCGCGGCCACAAAGTTGATCACGAGGGCCGCGACGTTCACCGTGAGCTGGAACTGGATGAACTTTTGGATGTTATTGTAGACGCATCGCCCCCACCGCAACACCGTCGCCACGGAGGCAAAGTTGTCGTCAAGGATTACGATGTCTGAGCTCTCTTTGGCAACCTCGGTGCCTTGGATGCCCATCGAAAGCCCTATGTCTGCTTCCTTGAGGGCTGGTGCATCATTGGTCCCATCCCCTGTGACGGCAACCACATGGCCTTTCTGCTTCAGGCACTGAACCATCAGGAGCTTATCGAAAGGCGAGGATCTCGCCATGACACGGATTTTCTCGACTCTCCGAAGCCTCTCCTCAGGTGTGTAGCTGCGGAACTCCACTCCTTCCACGATGGCTCCGCCGAAGGCATCATCCTCGGGCTTAAGAATCCCACACTCCGCGGCTATGGCCTTAGCAGTGAAGATGTTGTCTCCCGTTATCATCTTGATGCTCACTCCCGCATCTTGACAAGCTTGGACCGCACTCTTCACGCCGGGACGGCATGGGTCCTTAATACCGACAAGTCCTAGTAATGTCAGGCTGTCCTCTTGGATCTTCTTCCCGTCTTCTCTTTCTTTGATTGCTTCCTCGGAGACTTGTTTATGAGCGAAAGCGATGCACCTAAGGCTGCTCGCCGCCATCCCCTGGATAATCTGCTCAAATCTCATCCTTTCCTCTTCCTCCAAATCTTTCGCTATCCCCGACCCGTCATAGAAGCTCGAGCACATCGCCAAGACCATCTCTGCCGCTCCTTTCCAGTGCACATGGAATGTGTCGTCCACGCTCTTCCTCATTAGCACACCGCTTCTCTTCTTCTGCGAGTTGAAGGCTTCGACTTGGATGACTTCACAGCTCTTCTTTGTCTCCTCCATGTCCATGGTCAATTGCGAAACCGCCCAGGAAAGAATCGCTTTCTCGGTGGGACTACCGGAGAACTCGTACTCTGATCCCGAAGATGGCCTATAGACACTGCCCGTGGTGTTCAAAGCAACCGCATCCCGAATCAAGTCCAGGACAAACTTGGAGACAGAGGAGTACCCGTTTTCTGCCACAGAGTCTTGGCCGACCCAGAATTTCGTCACCTTCATCTGGTTCATTGTCAGAGTACCGGTCTTGTCAGTGCAAATAGTGGTGGCCGACCCCATCGTCTCGCAGGCCGAAAGCTGCCTCACCATGGCCTGATCCACCATCATCTTCTTCATCGAATATGCAAGCGTGAGGGTTACCGCGAGTGGTAAGCCTTCAGGAATCGCGACGACCACGATTGTCACTGCAGCTGCGATGATGCCCACGATAGAGTTTATGATATTGTCACCTGTGGTTTGGCCTGCAATGAATTCCCGGTTACCGTTCTCGTCCTGTGTGTTTCCTGTGAAATAGCGAATCAGCAGGACCACGAGAACCAGGAAGGCGACCGCCAAGCCTACTTTGCCAATCGACGAGGTGAGCTTGTTGAGCCGAGCCTGTAAAGGGGTCTGTTCGCTGTTGTCGCGGCTGATTGAGCTCATCATCTCGCCCCATGTCGTGTTCATGCCGACGGATGTAACCAGCATCTGAGCATACCCATCAGCAACCTTTGTTCCGGAGAACAGGAATGGATTCTGATTGCTGTTCACTTCTACGTGATCACTCTCCCCGGTCATGCTCGATTCATCAACCTAAATTGACAACACAAACGTCGCACATGGTTTAGTGACGCTAGGATGACACGATACGACGCGCTCTGGTCTTAACTTGAAGCAAAGAAAATGAAACATGAACAAATATGAAAAAAGAACAAATGGATTACGCTTAACTTTTTCCAGTAGAATTTCTTTAACATAGTTTGTTCTACTATGACTAGAACTGCTAGTAGAAACCATCACTTTTCCTTTTTGCCATAGAATCAAGAATATGAAAAAGACAAACTGCCCAGTATCAAGCAGAATATGATACACTTCTACAATTTTTTGAACTAATTACTCAACTAATTACTCAAACTGTGCTCGAACTTGGTAATATTAATACATATGTTTCTGGAGGAAACCAACATGAGTTAATATGCAAATCTAATGCGTCAAACCAGTACAAATTGTCGTCCATACCTGCAAGGAATGCCCGTCCAGGAACAGCCCGTCTGCCGGAACTTGATCGCCGATCTTCAAACAAACGACATCTCCGACAACGATCTCGAATATGGAAACCTGCTGCCGCCGACCCTTCCTTATGACATCAATGAGAATATTATCGCTCACCTGAGACAATTTTTCAAACTGCCGGTTCTGGCGGTAATTGCTCACGGCCGACACGGCGATCACAAGGAACACCGCAACGAATATGCTGCCACCGTCATACCAGCCTTCCTTGACCCCGTTCTCCTTAATCCCAAACCCGAGCGAGAGCCCAGCGCAAACAAGCAGAATCATGATTGTGAGGTCCTTGAAAGCCTCGAACACGAAGTGGAAGAAGCCCTTGGCCGGTGCCTTCTTGTATGAGTTGACGCCAAACGCTTCTTGCCTCCGAGAGACGTCGTCTGGGTCGCCGCTTATTCCGGCCGAGACATCAGTTTCGAGTGCTGAGGCGACTTTCTTGACCTCGCCGAATTCCCGGAGGTGGCCGAGGTCCTTGTCCTTGACCAGCTTCGTAAGCTGTGACTGAAAAATCTCGAAGGAGCCGGGACGATCAGGGCCAGCGCTCTGATCCCGATCGTGGATCGAAATCGAAGTGTAGGAAGGATATTTTCGTGGGAACTTCCTGGTTTTCTTTGCGGAGGTGGTGATGGCTCGGGAGCAATATATGGTCGCGAAGGCCAAGTGCCATTGCTTGGCGAACTTGCGCACAGCGGGCAAGTCGAGAGAGACCTCATAGCGGACGCGGTCGCCGAGCAAGATGCTCGTCATCGCTCGGAAGAGACGCACGGACTTGTGATCCTATACTGAGATAGGACGGGTCGGGCAATGCAAATGGCAAGAAAGAAACGGGAAAACTCCGATGTTGGTGTGGTGTGTTAGCCGCGAAGAGTGCAAATTTCAAATATGTGGCGTGATGTTGGGTGACAATAGCCCATGAATCGCATGTCTTTTTATAGAACCTGCTGTGCTGAACCAGAGGCGGACGTCGGTTTGCGGAATGGATTAAGCGACTTTCCTTTGCGTACGCGGCGCGCCGTTTTTTTGGCTCTTTGCCTCATCGCGCGTTTCTTGATCACGACGACACACGTTGCGAGACACGAATGATCAGATTTTCGGCGAAAGTGACGGGCGTGGGGCGTGGCAGCTGCTGACGTGGTTTCCGCGAAACGAAGCCCCCCTGAAAAGTGGAAAACCCGCGTTTGAGTTCTGGTGACGTGGATTCAAAGAAAAGTCAAAGATACGAGAGACCCAATGCTGCGTCGTTTCTTTTAGAACACGCGGTATCGTTATATTTTCCTCTTGTTTTTTTTTGGTCGAATTTATATTGCCCTTTATTACTCGTTCAATCAGGTGATTAATGGATTATAAATATAAATATCACTCACGATTCAATTTTTTTTTCTCGTTCAATTTTGATTGTGGATGACGTCCGTATTTATAATGCGCCGATTAAAGAATTAGCTAGAGGTGAATTATTTTGACTTGTCAAAGGGTGGAGCCCACAAGAAAGAAAAAAGGCAAAAGAAAAAAAAACAAAATGGACGTTCAGCTCTTTTGGAAAGGGAAAAGGAACGACTGAGAGGGACGCACGACCAAGAAAAAAGAGAAGAAAGAAAAGACAGAGAAAAGAAAGAAGAAGAACAAAGAGAACGAGGGGTTTTGCGTATATGTCATGGGGACGTCACCAAGTTGGACCAACTATCGTAGCGCAATGCCCGATAAGTGTTTACGGCCTTCGTTCGTCCAATCGGAGTAATTTTCCAAATTATGGCTTAAATTCTAAGTTTTATGAAATTCAAGCTGCAGAGTCCGATTTTTGAGTTGCTGAGCTATGAAATTTCATAGAAATTGTGGATTATGTTGTTGTGGAACCGTGAGGTCTGATGAGAGTAGTTTTAGAGCAATGGTTTGGTCAAAGTGAGAATTTTAGGATTTCGCATATGAGTTCTGCGTTGCGTTTAGATTTGGAATTGAGAAAAGTGAGACTCATTCTTATCTTGTATGTGTATTATATACTGGAATTGAGAAAAGTGAGTTTGGATATTGTTTTGTAAAGTGCATAGTAGATGCTCGATCTGCTTAGAAGAGATACGCACTACTCACTGGGCTATGGTTACCTATCCCATTCCTTCCAAATCTTTTCAGGCTCTTCGGCTAGCAGCCAATAGAGCGAGAGCGATATCAACATGGATTTTTGAGAGCTGGAATTAATGTTGCGTCATTCGGCTGGAAGGACGGTCGTGTCACTCCTCCATTCTAATAGAATTCGGGGCGTGACAAGAGGAACTTTCCTCTCTCCAATCCGGGATGGCGGAAAGCACAATCGTATGATGTGTACGTCTTAAAGTGAGCGCACTACATCGAGCCCGGCTGAAACTGGCTCTGTAGATATCAATTCTTATTGCACGTTTGGTTAAAGTATAGGTTAAAGCAGCCATGTACGAGATAATGTGGTCATAACACGAACAAAAGATGGTAATGTGTTTGTTTGGGCTTTGGTATAACGAAATAGCCAATATTTTGTACGGTTTCACTAATGATGTTACGATTCCGATAGCGTTCATTAGTAATACAGATTCATAATTTCTTCCACACTATCAGCAAATTAGATAGTAATTGGACGAAAATTATTTCAGCAAGCCATATTGCGGACCCACACTTGACAAGCATAGGCAAAGAGCGTGACCGGAATGCCTTATCTCGAGGTTAGTACGTGATTCCTTGGTGCGAGCGAGGGTTAGCATCGCGCGCCAGGTAACGCCGAAGAGGCCAGGATGATATAGAGAGCAGACTCATCCTCCGAAAGTCCAATGATCATCGTACCAAGATAGTATACATAACGAGTCGATTATGGCAATTAATGAATAGGATATTGCCACGGAAGAGTCTAGGTTTAGTTAAATCAATAGCAGGTAAGTTATCGTGTATCACGAGAATCATGCATCACGAAAACACAAGGTGAAACATGGATTATCATGTATCATAAGAACACGGATTGACATTGAGATCATTTAAAAGAATTAAAAGGGTTAGATCGAGTCATTTCAATCGGATAAGGATCGAAGATCGAACCAATAATATTAATAATTTTTTTTTATTTTTTGGTATAAAGAGCATTTGCGTGGTTGACCAATCTTATCCTGCCCTTGGATCGAGTTTACACCAACATTCTCCGTACATTTTCTTGGATTTTTCTTTCCACACGTACTTTTGACATCTTCCCCCTTTCATACACATTTCTAGGAATAGGATTAGATGCGTCAGATGGACGACTAAATTATGTAATCGTTGCTTCCGCGATGGTTTGCTCAATTAAAATAGAATGAGAACGTGTTCGTTTACGTAGACTGCCGCGACGGATTGTCGACTGACTTGGGTGGCGGCCGGTGGGGTAGAGGACGAGATAGCTGGCGGCGGCCCTCACGGGAGCTTCGTGTGGATCTTGAGATGCTCGCCGGGCTCGCCGAGAGTAGCCGGTGTCTGTCGGTCGATTTTTTTTTTTTTCCGTGACTCTCGCCGCCTCGTGTGGTGAGAGTATCTCTGTTTATGCTTGGTCGGTTGCCGTCGTTGATGACAGATGCCGTGTGTGTTATACCATCAGAATTTGCTCTGGTGATGTTGAAATCTGAATTGCAATGTTGATCCTATCGTTTGAAAGGAGCTCAAATTGAGGAGCTGTTACGGCATGAAATGCCAATTACACAGTATTCGCCTCGACTATTTTCCTGCAGTGCTCTGCGGAATTCAATACCAGTCATTAGAAATATCCAGTTTTTTTGTTTGAGATCTCGTCATAGTAGTATCTGGACAAGACCAAAAGCGAAGTAGGAAACAAAGGGCATTGCCCCTTCAAAAACATGTCTCTCCCTGAAGAAAAACGCTGGGTGCTTAGCCTGCTTTCACTAATTCCACTTCACGTAGCTGCCGAATGGTCTCTATAACAACCCAACGAAGAGGCCATGAAACGGCTGCCGTTGCAATGCAAACGCCGCGTTGCTTCAAATTCAACCTCTCCGTACCTAAAAAACCTTGCCGAGAGATCCATTATCGCCACCTGAGCGAGGACTATTCCTCCAGAAACAGCCAAAAGCCACTTGTTGTGTGTGAGATCGTCCCCTTGAAGACATTGATCTCTCCAAGCTTCCTTGAATCAAATAGGTTGTAAAACTTGACAAAGGATGAGAATGTCGAAGATTGATGCATTCTTGACCTGTTCATTCATGCAGAGAAGTTGTCCACCCTTGAACTGCACTATCAAAAGTGCTGTTACCTGGTATGATGCCTGAGCTGCGAGGGTTCTCCACATAATTTCGGTTATCAGTGGATCGTTTCAAGCCACGGGATGCTTTTGCACGAGGCCATCAGTTGGTCGCTCAGTGTTAATTCAACCCGAAGATCGATCCATGTCGAAAGTGTTGATTCAACCCAAAGATAAAGGAAATTTGATTTTCTTTCCTTTTGGTTTCTCCTGTCTCTTGCTCTACTCTCCTGATTTATATTTAGATTTGGGAGCTCTACTCTCCTAATCTTAAATTTGAGAGATTTTCTTTCCTAAACTTACTCCGCCTCCAGTGTCAATGGTGTTCACAGCAACTCCGATCTTAGATATGTGCTCGTCCAATATGTTTTTGTCAGAAGCTCTGGTATTTCGCACTTGCTAAAGGGCTCGCTCTTAATATGTGTAAATTTTGAGCTTGTTCAAATTGTTTTTATTGTCTCTACACGGTGATGAGCTTGGGAAGTAAGGCAAAACCGTAACTACGTATGGAAACCCTAGCGTCTTCCGATATGTGATCCGATCTTTTTACTTAGATGCTGTCACAGATCTGTTCTTGAAGGATGAGTTATGTGTTTATCTTTACCAATCTTGCTATGATGATATATCTTGATTTGTGGATTTTGGTTTGTTTTGTAGCGCTATGGACTTGCTTTGTTGTGTTGACTTCTTACATATCCTTTCATGTAATGAATGGAAATTTCCTTTGAAAAAAAAAAGAAGGTTAATATCACGAAAAATTCCAAACTTGTATACTTATGATAATTTTACCCCAAACTAATTTTTTGACCACAAAAAATTCAAAACCGGTACACTTGTGACAAATTTACCATCAATTTGTTTCCGTTAAATTTTACTGTCAAATTGCTTTGTTGAATGGCACATAACAGTTGACTGATACCGGTTTTATGTTTAACCCTCTATTTGTCACATGTGTACTAGTTTGTAATTTTTTGTGGTATTAATTCAATTTAATAGAAACTAACAGAGGATAAATTTATCATAAATGTACCGGTTTAGGGTTTTTTGTTGTCAAAAAATTAGTTTTTGTTAAATTTATCATAAATATACTGGTTTTGGGTTTTTTGTGGTCAAAAAAATAGTTTTAAGTAAAATTATCACAAGTGTACTAGTTTAGAGTTTTTCGTAATATTAATCAAAAAAAAAAAATTAAGTAGAGGACCACAACGAGCATATAGAAGTTACAGAGTCAGCTGTGAATGGTATTTCCTAAGAATAAGGGAGCCAGGGAACATAAAAGGAGGGTAGACGGGTCGAATTTGGGCAAACTTTACTGCGAGACCGAACGGTAACGTGACGTGAAATTTCATGCCAAAAGAATTGCGGAGTGTGAAACCACACCCCAAAGTCTCCATCAACTTGTCAGGTGGGATTTGCTCAACCAAGCCCTTTTCCATCCAATTTCCCCCAATTTCTCCCCTTCCTTTCTCATTCTAATCCCATAGCAACTACCACTCCTCCTTTGTCCCCATCAACGATACCTTTTGGTTGGCTATCAATGACCGCGTTAATTTGACTTCTCATTCAATTTGACATTTAGATTTTTGTTTTTCTAGCGTGAGAGTCAAACCCCGTACTGAAAACTAAACGTCCCACCCCACCCGATTCTCTCACCA